GGCACCCACCCGTCCAGGCGGCGCAGTTCAGATCTGCGCCGGAGGAGGTCCCGCGGGGGCGAAGGGGCGGGTTTGCCCTTAGCTTCGGCCTCAAGTGTCACATTGCTGCTGGAGCTACTGCCACGTCTGACCGAGGCCGCTGCTTGCCTCCATCCAAGTGGGAGCGCAGGCCTGCTCCTGCGGTCTGTGTTCCCAAGGGCTGTCACCTAGGACTCGAGGAGCCCACGAGCGGAGCCAGGGTTTTGCAGAGTTGTTTCCCAAGGGGCATCTGCTGACCTTCCCAGCCCTGCCCGCCTGCCAGTGGTCCTGGAGGTGGGGTGAAGGCTTGGCTTCGGAGTCTGGCTCTGCCATATGGTGACGGGTGGCCACGGGTCTGATACCTTAATCATCACAAACTCATGGGCCTCGGAAGGGACAGGTCGAGCCCCCATGCCAAGTTGACTTCTTGAACATTTAGCAGTCCAGAGGGGGGATGTGGCCTGGTGGTGTGGCTGTCATTCTCTGGTCCAGGTTCCACCCCTCACCCAGCTTTCACCCTCACCCAGCTTTCTGGGCCTGCCCCCCTCCTACTTTTGGGGGGACAGGCTAGTAGATGATCATTTTTGCACACATCCCACTGGCCACCCTTTGCTGTGGGAAATGTGCTCTTTATCGGGCAGCCATGCACCCGGCCAAATTTTATTATTTGTAGGACAAGAAGCGGGTGGAAAAGCACAAAGTATACCACCAACAGGATAATCTAACACATCTGCTAGAGGCTGTAGCCTCAGTCGAAAGGAAAGTCCGCACGGGTTCAAATCGCATCTCTGCCTCTAGACCAGTGGTTCTCAACCTTCCTAATGCCGCGACCCTTTAATACAGTTCCTCATGTTGTGGTGACCCCCAATTTCATTGTTACAAATTGAACATAATTAAAGCATAGTGATTAATCACAAAAACAATATGTAATTACATATGTGTTTTCCGATGGTCTTAGGCGACCCCTGTGAAAGGGTCGTTCGAACCCCAAAGGGGTCGTGACCCACAGGTTGAGAACCGCTGCTCGAGACCGTTGCGTGGCCTTGAACACAGCTCCCTCGCTTTGCCTTGCACATTCACAGGATGTGGGCGAGAACAATGACCTGTCCCTCCTGACTGACCTGATGGTTAGAGTTAACCTGTCCCCTGCAGAGCACAGCGCCTGACATGTTACCAGGGGTCCCGAGGACAGGGGCAGGCTGCCCTCATGGTCCCAAACAGGAGTGCAGCCTACGTCTGACATTTCACTTCTTTTGGTATTTGCCTGGTAAAGGATTGTTCTTCATATCATTCACTGAACAAATGTTCATTTAAAAAATATATTTATTGATTTCAGAGAGGGATAGAAATATTGACGAGAATCATTGATCAGCTGCCTCCTGCACCTGACACTGGGGATCGAGCCCGAAACCCAGGCATATGTCCTGACTGGGAATCAACGTGTGACCTCCTGGTTCCTGGGTCGACGCTCAACCACTGAGCCACGCCGGCTGGGCCAAATGCTCATTTTGAATCCCACATGCCAAGTATAGTTCTAAACACCAGGACACATGACAAAACCCTTGGCCTTTGGGACTTAACATTACAGTGAGAAAAACACACAATATGGCTACGGAGCAAAACCAAGCAAGGAAGTTCTGGGGAGCGGGACCATTTTCTGAGTGGTGAGGCAAGCGAAGGCTCCCTGAAGAGGTGGCGTCGAGACCCAAGGGTGGCAGAGAAGTGAGCCACTCAGACACTGAGCTAAAGGCGTTTCTGGGAACAGACGGACCAGGGCCCGAGGCAGGAGATGGAGGGGGCAGCCGGAGAGGCAGGTGTGGGCGAAGGTGGGTCAGGCTGGGTGGTATGAACCACGACGGAGAGAGAACTCCCTGAGCCTCCTGTCCCAGGCTCCAGGCAGAGTTTGGGGGTCCCCAGCCTGCCACGAGCTGACTTAGGCTGCCAGGAAGAAAACGCTGGAAGGCTTCCTGGGTGGGCAGAGGCCTCCATGTCCTCCTCTGCACCCGTGTGCGCCATGGGTGACAGACTTGAAGGCATTTCCTGGCGTCTTTCTCCCGGGAGACCGAGCCTGTGTGGGGTGGAGGGACCCATGAGCCTTCCACTCGGCCTCCGCAGGTCTTGTTTCGAAGACTGGCCAGAGAACCCCATTTCAGCCCCCGCTTCTCTCCGCCACTCCCCGGGGACGGGGACGGGAGGAACTGGTCGGGACGAGGGGAGCGGGTGGCCTGAGCCAGTGCTTCCAGGGCATGGAGCTTGGGGTGATCCGGGACGCCGCGCGGCTGGGGCACCCCCACGTCAGGCATCTCCCTTAACAAGAAAGAACACGCCCAAATAGGGGTAACCCTCCCCAAGGGGACGTTCCTCACCCCACCCCCAGCCTTCCCAATGGGGACCCTGTCCCCGAGCAGGGCACACCCTCCCTCACAGTCAGACAGGCCGCCGCTGGGGCGCCCCGGGCAGAGCACCTCTGAACGCAGACAACGCTCCCCGGGGGCTGGCCACCCAAATGGGAGCAAGTCTCCCCAGGGGGACAGCCCCTACCCCGCCCCGGGAGGCCTCCGCAGTCCCGACTCCAT